TGTTCCGCGCCTACTGGGTGATGTCGTTTCCCCGCGACGAACCAGACTGGTAGGCATTGGGGTGATGGTTCGAAGAACCTTGCGCAGTGAGCAACTGCTCCGAAGGTGACGGTTGTCTCCACAGAATAACACCGTCGCGTGTTTGTGTGCTGCCCGGTAGCTCGGAGCTCTGCTCCCTCATCCTCAGCATCGCCTAGATCCATGGGCACAGGCCCGATCGACGAACTGTTGGAATGTGCATTCCAACCAAGTCGTGCCGACCTGAATTTGGATTCGGCATTCAATGCCACATTCACCGCCTCTTCAAATGAAGATGAATGCACACGGAAGACTTCCATTATGGCCACGCCAGTGCGGAGGCCTTCTATGAATACGGTCACCGTGACCGCCTCCGAAAGGGGATCTGCTGCCATCCCGGTAACGAGAGTGCGCATCTCTTGGACAAAGTCCACCAATTCCTTGTTGCCCTGACGGGCGGATAGGAAACGCGATCGCACGCGATTTGCCTAATTAGGCGGCGAGAACACTCGTGAGAGCTGTAATTTGAGCTCCGCCCGAAGTGCCGCACGTCAGTGCCCATTCTCGCGCTCGCCCACCGAGCTTTGAGATGGCTAGCGCTACGCGCTGCTGCTCCCTTCCCCTCAAAGTCCTTAACGCTTACCATGAGCGGCTAAGGACGGGGAAAATCATCCGTCACTGACGGTGGCGTCACAGACGCGAATAATGCAGACACCTTCTGCTGCAGGTGCTCTAGCAGCGCGTTTCCGTAACTTGAAAACGCCTTTAGACGCGCACCGATTGCCTCGGGACCTAGCAGCCACGAGTGTTCCGACAAGTCAAGATTTCAGCAATGCGATTCCAATATTTCCATAATCCGACCACGTGGCAAATCAAATCACGTTTGCCACTTGGCTTCAGCATTTCGACCTTAAAATGCAAAAAAAGGTCGCTAAGTTCTTCTACTCCTGGATATTGCGTTCAGCCACACAGTCAACTATGTATGTCGGAATGTGACGGTACAGTTTCTACCACCCAACATGACATCACTGATCCAGCCATTGGATGTAGGTAAGCAAAACGGTATGACATTTTTTCTGCCTACTAACTACTGTCTCTGTTCTCGGAATCATTTGCTCATTCAAAGCTCGATATCGACGCAAGCTCGTTCGTTGTCTGCTTGATGCCATGCATGCTGGCGTCAATCGGAAGCTGAATGTGTCAGAGGTTGTGCAGTTTGCAATCGCCACTTGGGAGGAAGTGCCCGCTCAAGTACTGCGCAACTGCTGGTTGCCGTGCAACATTGTCGACGCGTCGACAATGGCTCGTCTGAGGCAGAAGAACGATTATGGTCTCGTGTCGGATGCGAGCGTGGAAGAGGATCTCGCTGGGCTGATGAAGGATATGTATGTTACTGACGGTGTCGATGCGTACATTGACGCAGACTCAGCAGAGCCAGTTGAATGGGCGCCCAGGATGTGATCGAAAGGATTGGGCTTGATGCGGATCAGGATAGTGGCAACGACTTGATGGCTGAAGCCCCGATACAACAATCAGCGGCTATAGCTTGATGTGTCAAAGCTTGCAGAATTTGTTGCTCGTCATCCCAACTGCGACGAAGGAAACACGAGCTCTAGCAAAAGTGGCAGAGATTCTCGAGAAAGACTGCATCGAGCGCATGACTAGAACCCCAGTATCTCATTACCTTGAATCAGATAATTTTGTTACCCTCCCAATGTGAACGGTTTATATGTGGAACATGATCGTCTGGCCGCACAGTTTAATGTCCACATATAGAGGTGTGACTGTAGTGAATAGCTATATTTTCGAACTCCTTTATCGCTTATAATCACGCCGAGTGTACTTTCTCCATGCTAAGCGCCATTCCGAATGACTTTCTGTATCGCTAGTTCAGAACAGCTTTTTCCGCAGTAGTGCTGCATTCATGTTCGATATTGAGTCTCAAATTTCTACTTGGGGTTTAAGTGAACTCAGGTACCAGTCAAATTCTTTCATCACAAAATGCACAAATTGACTGTCCGTATCAAATCCTTAGATTATTTGCAGAATTACAGATGTCGCACGTTGCTTAGCGAGGTCTATCCATCACGGGTTTTTAAGGCTTCAATTAGCCTGTTTGGTTGCTCTTGGTGGCCAATAAGGCATCGCTCACTGTTAGGTTAGGGTGGAAGAAGAAAATGTACTTCTATCCCAGTAGGCCAGCCCGCACCTAGGATTGTCTACCGGTTCTGCGTGGAAACTTGACACTAGATACCACCTCATCAAAAAGAAAGGCACACACCGGTGAACATTTTTAAGGTCCCCGCAGATGTAGCTTGCCGCTAAGACAATGTTTGGCGGTCAAGAGGTCACTCAGATGAGCTGATATTTTTCGCCACTTGCGCTACGATAGTTTTTCTCTTGCGTTCTAGCCGACACTTTTAGATCGCAAGTTGCATTTCGTGTTCATGCAATGTAAACCGACCTTTCAGAAGAGGTAGGTTTACACGAAAGGTCTCGGTACAGCTGCACCTTGATGAAGAGCAGAAGCTGCGAACGATTATAAAATTACGGCTACAAGAGTTTTCATCCCGTGGATATAATCCAACAACCTTTCATCTCTAAACGAGTGATTCATGGCTAAAGCCGCAGCGGTAAATCTGGTTTGGCGGTTCAAAGAGTAGCGAGACTAGTCGCTTGGGTACTTCAAAGCTTGCGCATACCACATATTAGTGCCCATTCTATCGCAGGGCTTCCTAATCTGGAGATTGCTAGCTGGAAGGGGAGCTGCTCTACTTCTAGCATAGTCTAAGGCCATCTCGATCTCTTGTGTGTGGAAGAGATTTTCCTTACATGTTGTAACGCTTGCCAGAAATACTTCCGCTCCTAGAGCAATGTTGGAGCTGTTGATACTACTGTCTGCAACTTTTTTAATAGGACTAACCAGTAAATTCTCACAGCTGGGGAAAGCCTTCAGGCGAGCGGTAATTGTTTCCAGGCTTTTTTCCCTTGTGATCTTGACTTGGGCTCGACTGAACTTAGTGGTTTTTTTAAGAGGCCGTCCGCAAACGCTATCAATTTGCGATCAAGTATCGCAAATTTTGGTATCATTTCGCACATGAGAAAATCAGGGCTCGTTGAGTACACGTAGAGAGGTCGGGAAGCAAGACTGTCTATAGACGTAGAATAAAGATACGCTCACCCCCCACAAGTAACTTGTAGTGTTTACGTAAATGAGTAATAAGATTTAAAAAAAAATCCAAGCTGCAAAAATCAAATTATTGATATAAAATGATTTCACCCATAAGTTTTGCGTGAGGCTAGCAGCCCACTTATCCTACTTCTCCTCTTAGATTATTATAAATGTGATAATTCTTACTAGTACAAGGTTAAGTTACTTCTCCACGGTAAAAGAGCACACTAAAACACCTCAGTACTAATCTCAGTGCTCTTCTGCTCCATACAAATTTGAAGGACAATAGCGTTGTTTGAACGTACGCCGGAATGGAAACGTACCTGATTGCGTAAGCCGTGCCCATTGCGCTATTATTGAGCTGTTGGTCTAGCGCTGATGATAGCTTATCGTGAGATACCTGTCGCTCTGACTGCGGTAATTTGTAATTCATATTTCGTGTCTTGTCGGCTCATGGGCTGGGGGAAAGTAGGCGTATCGTGCCAAAACTAAGACTTTCAGGTGTTGCTGGTAGCTTTCACAATCCAAAGAAATAAATTTTTCCGGCAGGGGCGAGGTGCGCTATCAGAGAGATACCGATTTTACATTTGGGGCACGTAGAGTAACGCACAGTAGAAAAATATTCATAGGGGTGGAGAGAATATGACTTCGCGCATCGATTATAGACTCATGAGATTTGCAAAAATTTACGTGTGCTTTTGTCGTGAGCGAAAGAAAGCCGACAGTGTAGTCGATTCTGGTAGATGTGAGATCATTATGGACATAGCTGTGACTTAAGAAGACATTGACAGACCGAAACTGCGTAAGATCGTTAGTACGTCCTGCTCCAGTATATGCTATAGCTCACAAAAAGCATCTTGAAAAGGTGATTGATGCCAGCCGCACCGCACGTTTCGACATATGGCCTCATGTGCATGCACCCATTTTACCGCCAAGGCGCAAAAACACAGTAGTGACAACATGGGATCTATTACTTGTTTTAGTTCCAATGCGAGCGATTGGCATAGTTTTGCAAGCATAAGATCTGTCTTGGTATATCAAAAAGCTTCCGGAATTTGTCGCAAATTCAGAATGATTACGTAGTTATTAGCTGCTCGGGAAAATGTAAGTTACACTTCCTTCCTGCGGGTGAAAAAGTAATCGCTGGCAATGGCGTGCCGAGGCAAGTCACACAGATGATAACTGTAACAGCAGAAGGCTTTTCATGTACGTTCAAGTTAATCCACACTGTCATGTGCAAAGAAATGTCACAGCACCTTGCTGAGACTACGAATGATTGGAGATTGGTAGTGACTCTCTGTGTGAGCGTTGCAACGTCACACCGTGCGAATTGCAGTATATCCACAAAATAGAAAGAGCTGATTTTACTTGTGGCTACTAACGGGGTGCATCAAATCGAAGGGTGTTTGACAGAATGCCAACCCAGATAACGGACAACTAGTAAAGTCTCAGTTTGCACGGAGTTGCTTCAATGTCATGACAGCTTTGGAAGCGTTACGGGGCGTCATATTATATTTTGTGCAATTAAGTTGAAGGCAAGGGCAGATGTCAAATATGCTTAATGTTGTGGTCGTGCAACGGGTGGCAAGATACTAGTTTTGGTTGAGAACCACTTCCGGAGACTTACTACATCCCGGTTATTAGTAAGCATATTATTGAGAAGTACCCCAAGCAACGCGAGATGCGCATATGAAGGTGGCAGATGTGGTTTTAAGGGAAATTAGTCCGCGGATGGCCCTGTGCCAGGCGCAAAATACTGCCTCACAGTGATTCATTTTGATCGATACAATTAAATAGATTATTCGTCGCTGGGAAGGCGAAGGTAGATATGGTGTGATGATCACTCATTGCCTACTTTCTCTGTTCGTCAAAATTAGGTGGCTAGCTCACGCTTTACATAGATTTGGTAGTGTCTTCGTTCCGACATAGACCCCAATTCCTTGATTAGACATGCCACCGAGTAAATGTCCGAGTATAATATGTATAGTGCGCAAAACTGCGAGATGATGCAATCAAATTTAAATGCTGGTTGACATCCCGTCCTCAGCGACAAAGATCATAAACGGCATGTTGTGGTATTATATCCAACGCCTTGACGCCATTGACTTTCTGATTACGATTGTTTTTTTATTTATACGTTCAAAAGATAATTTACCGGCTTTCGGTTGGTTCTTTTTCACTCTAAACTACTACGTCATGTGCTTAAGACTATGTGAGCGACCTCACTGTACGCCAAAATTATATCGGGCGCAGAAAAGAAAAAAATTACTGGTAGCTATGTGAGCAAGAAATGTGCTCAATCAAAGTGAAGGCCAAAGTTCATGACCAGTATCTCAGTCCTAATGATGCTCTTTGACAAGTTAGATATGGGCTTAGCTAGCAACGACTGTACTTGCAGCGGGGTTGCTTAGCTCTTTGCTTAGAGGAATAATTTTAACCCCTACACTCAAGGAAAGGGCTAGTGCCGCTTTTGCTGGGTGTTTTGGTACACCTCTTGCCGATCCTTTTCTCTTGGAATATTAGTAAAGGGTATTGGACTAATCATCCCGCAAATACCAATGTTGTTTACGATCTTGGTCAAATTGTAAGTTCAGCTTACTTAAAGTCACCCACATTCGTTCTATACTAGAACCAGTACGAGTATAGCGGATTGCAATCCGCTATATCTAAAGCCTTAATCAAGGCAGATGTACTCTTGCGTTCACAATTGAAACTATATTTATCTGCTTTATTTGCGGCAGAACCGCCTATATTCAAAACCTTAGGTTTCCCAAACTAAATAACAAATCCTAAGTAATATGCATAACTACTGGCAGTCCCGCCACGTAGTGTCTTCTTGTTACGGTGTAGCCACACCATTGTGTGATTAGAATGACTTGTATAATCTACATCCTTGTACGGTCACATCATCTTGAGTGACCCACCCTTTCATACCAGATTACCTGTCACCCCATTACACTCTCCCCGTCAATATTGTAATTACCCACAAATGACATTTAACTGTCGTCCCGTACGAGGCTCGCGTGTCTCAGACACCATACGTCCCTAGGACCGTCTTAATGCTTTCTCTGGTTGATGAGCCTTGTGTCTATGACACAAAAAACACCCAGACTCGCTGGGTTTCGAAAGCACCCGCGGGCAGAGCTTTTCTTCGTCTCCTGCTCGCGGTGCAACTCCAAACAGTGCGTCTGCGGCTTCAAGGGAAGCACAGCCCAAACCCTCGGCAACCGGGCGGCTGATTTTCTCGTCAAAAATTCGGAGGGAGTCAACTACAAGTCGAATACTCCTT